CTTAGCATGTACCAAACCAGTGCCTCAGTCCTGCCCGGCCCCGCGGTGGGGGATGTGAGATGGAGCCTGGAGCCCCTGAGCTTCACGCACCCTGGCGAGAGACGGGAGGTCCTGCAGTGCGGTGCCGAGCGCACCTCTCTGGCCAGTTCACGAGCGGCTGCACTGGGGCTCCGGAGGCTCCAGCCCTGCTCCTGAGCTCACCCCCTTCCACACTGGGGTACTGCCATGGATGGGGCCCGCTGCTCCTGCTACAGGTGGGGAGAACCAGCCCCTCCCTGTCCATTCCTCCCTCTGCCAGAGAGCCAGGCATCCGGGGGCAGGCTCTTTGTCAGGAAGGGGCAGTGGGGGCCCCTGGCTGGGTGAGTGGGGCTCCAGGGAACCCCTCCTGGGGTGGGGGAAAGAGAAAACCCAGCGGGACTAGGGGTCTCCAGTGCAGCGAGGTGCAGGGTGACTCTGGGTTCAGCTCCTCCCTTGTGGTTTCACACCGCTCGCACCATTTCACTCCCCTGGCAGCAGATTGAAATGCACCATCAACCGGAAACAAACGGGCTCTGTGCTCTCCCTGGGATGGTGGATGGCCTCAGTGCTGCTTTGTCAGTTTCAAGCGGGTGCTTTCATGGTGACACTTTTCCTCTCTCTCGTGGGGCCCTCGGATAACCCGGAGATGGACTCGAGAAGACGCAGGCCAGAATATGGTACATCAGGGGAGGGTCTGTAAGGGAGCTGGATGGGGACTCAGGGGCCCTCGGCTCAGTCCCCGACTCTCCTGGTGAATCACTGAATCGCCCTGTGCCTCACTTCCCCATCTGTACAATGGGGCTAATGATACTTTGTCCAACTCTTCGGGGCAGGGCCTGTCTGCCCAGAGCCTGGCACCTCGGGGCTGTGATCTCCCTGGGGCCCCTCAAGATGCTCTGGTCATACACAAGATAATAATAATGAATAACTCTACAGCACCGTGACCCGGCTGGAGCCGAGCTCACCCCCAGCCTTTGCATCGCGCTGCAGGAACCCTGGGACTGCTGCTGCCTCACTGACATTTACCAAGGCGCTGAGCTCAGGTCTCAGAGCCAGTCAGGCTATTCCTACGCCCTCCACAGCAGCTCCCTGCGCAAATAAACCAGCACTATCCATCCCCCGCCTCTCTGGCAGCTCCAGAACCGATCTGCTCCCAGCTGGCAAGAGCTTTTCCTAGCCTAGTACAATTGCCTGAGAAGTGCGCCCTTGCCAATCTCACGTCATGGGGAGAGCGGAGTTCACTTGGGTTTCTTCATCCCCGCCCTCCTCTTTTGGCTGGAAAATTGGGATTACTGGCATCCCAACCCCTTTTCTTTTAGCAATCCCTTTGCTGTGCTTCTGCCTACAACTGGGGCTAGTTCCCATCACGCGCCGGCCAAATGCTGCTTAGGGGAAAGCACGTGTAATTGAAACGAGTGCTCTCGCTCGCTCGCTCTGTGCAAACAGGCGTAAGCCTGTGTGTTAAACCTGGTACCTTCATTTTCAAAAGAAAATGTGGCCAGAATTTTCCAGTCCTGATCCCTTTTCAGATCTGTTTGGAGCCATCCAGCCCAGACAGTGTCCTGGCATCCAAACCTCCCGGTTACCCGAGCAGGAGTGAAAACTCCTCCCGCTCCTGCTCCAAGAGAATTCAACAACGGAAAAGCTTCAAATCCTATTTCCCTTTGTGGTGAGATCTACTTGGTCTCCTGGAATGAAGGGTTGAGAGATGCTGAATAGCTCCCCTCTTTCACCCGTTCTCACTCGCTGTCAATACTTTAGTGCACAATGGAGAACCGTGAATGCAGAGGGACCCAGCCGAGCCAGGCCTGCCTCCACGGCCCAGAGCAAGGCCACTAGGCCAGACTAGGGTGACCAGACATCAAGTGTGAAAAATCAGGACAGGGTGTGTGTGTGTGGGGGGGAGGGAGGGGATAAGAAAAAGCCGCAAATATCGGGACTGTCCCTATAAAATCGGGACATCTGGTCACCCTAGGCCAGACAGAGGGTGGCTGGGATCCGGTATCTGCGAAGGAGACAGGCAGGAGCAGGGGAAATGGGAGTTGGCTGCTCCCACTGCTTTCAAAAGGCCATGGAAATGAGCAAGCCTTGACCTTTCTCCTCCAGCTCCTCCTCGGAGGCGACTTCCCAGTAGCCAGTTGTGGGTGGAAGAGAACCTCTCTTCCCCCTGGCTGCGAGGTCAGTGGGTCTCTGCCCTGCCTTCCCTCTCCTGTTCTCAGCACCGCAGAGGGCTCTGCCCAAACGGTACCAGGGAGAAGTACCGATCAAAGTTAGAGCGAATTTAAAACCATGAAGCTATTTCAAATAAACAGAGTGCTCCTTGCCTGGGAGCAGAGGTTCCTCTCCCAGCTCTCTCTGGGCACGCTTGGGGGAGGAAGGCCTTTCAGAACCGGCACTCACCAGAACCAGCCCTGCAAAGCAGGTCAGGCTGCAGCACTTTGACTATGGAGCAATGGAGACCCAATGCAGATCCCTTCTCCGCACGTCTAAAGGTTGAGCTCGCCGTAGCCTCTCTCTGGAGCCCCGGCAAGAGCCTGTATCAGCTGGGACCAGAGGAGAGCACAGACTCACTGGGCTGAGCCTGGCGGTGGGAAGGGGATGTCCTACAATCACAGCCCGTGCAGCAGGCCCTGGGGCTCTCGGCAATGAGGAGCTGATGCTTGGACCAGCTACTCCTCCGGGGTCTCTTTGCTAGGCTACCACGCTGGGTCCAGCCTTTTGTACCTTCAATGGGGGCTTGAGGGCATGTGTGGGGCACTCTGGGACACGGGTGAGCAGCACCAATCCCGGCAGAGGCTGGGGCAGGGCACCCGAGTGATACTCTCCAGCCACGGGGTAGGAAACCTGCTCCCTTGCTTCTCCACCACCGGCGTCAGCCGGGCTAAAGCCAAGAATTGGCCCTTTGTTGGCACTCCCAGGAAAGGTGGCGGGGGGAGTAGACGCTATCTGCGGGGTGGAACGTTTCTGAGCCACTTATCGGGCTGCAGCCCAGAGGGCAGCTGAAAGGCCTGCAAGGAGCAGGAATCACTCGCAGCGAGGAAGGAAAACAAGCTGCATTCTTTCCTTTTTCTTTCTCTTTCACGGGAGTGGGAAGCTCGGCGTTCCCTCTATCCCTTAGACTCTCCTCCCCGGGCTCTGGGGAACAGGGGAGCTGGCAGGGCCGGGTTCAGAGCTCACAGCTGTGGCTCTGTCCAGCACATTGGTGAAGCCCCACAAGGTAACCTGCCCTCGCCTCTCCCAAGCCTCCTGGTTGCGGCAAGCGTAGGACTTTCTAGGCACCGCTGCCTCGGTCCCTCCCTTCCACTGCTGGTCCGGATCCATATGGAAGTGATGGTGGTGAGCGTATGGGACGGGGCTCTGAGTCTGAGATGCTGAGGAATGGCCTAATTTGCATGCACATTTGCATATTAACCAAAAGAAAAGCCAATGCACCCCGCCTGAAGTTTAGCGTGTCCTTGACTCTTCTCGGAAACATGAGCAGAACTTGCTGGTTGAACTCGCCAGCAATAGAAAGCCGCGGCTGGAGCACTGGGGTTGAGTAGCTACAACCAGATGGGCTTGTGGCTAACGCAGCTCACGGGAAACAGCTCCGGTCTACACTGATGCACCACAGCTGCTGTAGCAGTTGAAGGGTGGCCAGACCCGAACATGCAGAGGATAATCCCCCCCGCCCCCCGCGAGGCTCATTCAGAATGTCGGTAAAGTGCCTCGTGACCCTCCAGCAGACGCACTGTAATGTGCAAGTGGTATTTTTACTGCTGGGCACCTTAGCTGGCAGGTGCTATGGTTGCCTCTTGTATTATTAGCATCGGCTGCTGGGGTACATTGGAACGTGGTATCACTGGACGGCTGAGGGATCTCCTGGCCCTGCTTGCAGGCAGGGGGCTCTGAGAAAGGCACGGGATCTGGGTGGCCCGATTCCAGCAGCAGACAGCCAGGGTGGAAAGACGCAGCGTAAAGCAAGGTGGGGGGAGTAGTGCTTCTCTGTTTTAGGGAGCAGCCTGTTTCCTCGCTCTCTGTTTTGGGGTTCTCGGGTGCAGTGTCACATTGCAACCTCCCCGCGAGGCTATTCTATGCTTGAGCTAACTTCTTTATACACATGCTGTGAACATGCCAGCTTCAGCCTTGCCCTACAGGGTAGGGACTCGGATGGCCGTGCTCTGGGCTCCCAGTGTTGCGGCTCAGGAGAACGCATGGGGCTCCCTGGGCTGTAGAAAAACCCAATTCTCTCCCAGCCCTTGTCCCAGAATTGAAGGAGATGCTGCAGGATGTCTCTGCCCCGGAGAGACACTCTCCCTCTGTCCCATTGCGCTGCTCGAGGGACCAGTGTTCGTGCTCTAACCGCAGCGGTAGATGCTGCTGCCACTCCTGCTTTAAGATGCAGAGCATGACAAGAGCTGAAATGTACCAGTGGCAACAGACAAAAGGGCTGCAAGGGAACACGCAGCCAGCTGCCCCCCCCGCCCCCACCCCGGAGCTAAACATGACTCTTGAGCTAATCCGGGCTAGTTCCTATTAGCCCCCATCCTCCCCGTCTTCTTCAGCCTATTATCCAACTTCACAGGCTTACGGGAAGGGGCAGAGGGACTGAAGGGGTCATTTCACATTTGGTCTTGTAACAAACTGGCCATCATCACTGCCCTCTGGTGGGTGGAATCAGAACTGCCCAGCTGTGTGTCCATGGCCCTATACTGCACACTACAAAGGGACTATTCTCTTGTCACTCACGTGCTAGCAGAGCAAGGGGAAGTGAGTTCTATCCCTGCTGTTACCTGGGCCATATTGTGCAAGACCTAGGTGGCCAGAGATATTACAATAGCATCCAAGCTCACTGGGTGCGTGTCCTGTGCCTTTGGCAGAATCAAGCCTAAGCCCAGAACGAATTTGGACATAAAGCCGAAGCCATGTGATGTGTCTGTCTCTGCTCTCCCCCGCCCCATCCTGGACCTCCCCACCAAACCAACATGAGGGAGCAGCATTACCTTTCTGTGGCTTCTCGAGTGAGTGAGTTCTCCTTCCCTTTCCACACCTGCATCCTCAGAGGCTTATCTTCCGGCACGCTCTGTGCTTGCTTGCGGGCTCTCGCCCTGGAGTGGGGCAGATGTGTGGGGGTGAGAGGAGTGCTCCTGGAGAGGGGCCCCACCCTTCGACAGTGGAACAGGCGCTGGTAGGCTGTCCGGAAGTCCCTGTTCAGAGCAGCGTACAAGATGGGGTTCAGGGCTGAGTTGGCATAGCCCAGCCATAAAACTATGGACAGGGATGTCTCATCCACCTTGTCCCCCACCATCCCTCGGTAAGTGAACACTGTGAAATAAGGGAACCAGCAGATGATGAATGCCCCCAGCACGGCTGCTAGCGTCACTGTGGCCTTGTGCTCTTTCACAATGAGCAGCGCAGGGCTGATGGCCTTGCAGCAGGTGGCGTGATTGATCCTCTTGGCTTGCTCCCTGGCTATTCGGAATATCCGGTAGTACGTGATGCACATAATGACCAAGGGAAGGTAGAAGGTGAGCAAGGCATCCACCAGCCCATACACGGCGTTGACCGCCAACTTGCACTCCAGGCTGTTGTTCAAGCCCGTGTTCTGCACGCCGGTGCCATTGGTGTTCCAGCCCAGGTGGATGGGCAGGAAGGAGACCATCAGCGAGACCACCCATATGACGAACATGGCCACGGCCACCCGCAGAGGGGTGACCAGCTGGGTGTAGCGGAGCGGGGCTGTGATGGCGTAGTACCGGTCGATGCTGATCATGAAGAGGTTGAGGATGGAGGCCGTGCACAGCATGACGTCCAGGCTGCTGTAGATGTTGCACAAGGTGGGGCCGAAGTGCCACTCGCGCGTGAGCTCGTAGATGGCGGAGAAGGGCAGCACCAGGAGGCCAAGCAGCAGGTCGGTGATGGCCAAGGAGACGATGAAGCAGTTCGTCAGGCTGCGGAGCTTGCGGTTGAAGTAGACGGCCAGGCAGACAATCACGTTGCCGCAGACAGTGACCACAATGAGTGCGGTGAGCACGATCCCAATTAGCACCATCTGTGGTTTGCAGCCCATGCCTTTCGGAGCAGCTGTGCCGTTCGGACATGGATCCATGGCAAGGAGATGCGGGCAATCAGTCCTCTCCCATCTGGGCCCCCATGATGGCCCAGCTCTGTCTGAGCTCTGCAGCTACTCGGATAGAGGGTCCCGCTGGAGCCCACAACGAATGTCCCCAGGGCCCTACTCAAACCAGCCTGGCACTCGGGCACCCACACCCTGGGCATAGAGATTTGTGTTCACTTGTTTGCTCTTTGTCTCCGTAAAGGTGCCAGGAACCAGTCGGGGACTCTGCACCCAGAACTAGGAGAGGACGTGGGCTCTACGCAGAAATAACGCCCAGAGATCACTCCCATGTATTGGCACCAGAGGGGGATCAGTACGTTAGCTGCCAGGCGCCTCTCTGGCAGCCGCCTTTCAGTCTCAATCTCTCCCTCTTCCTCGCTCTTCTCCTCCTCCTCTCTGAGAAATTAAGAGGGGCTGAGTCGCGTAGGGTCTCAACCATGCCTGGCTCCGTCCACATGGTCAGGCAGGGGAAGGTAGGGAGGGAGATTCTGCTACATCATTCCTTCCGGCTGGTCCGTGCCTCTGGCCCTGGGCTGCAGCCACCATTCACCGCTCGGACCCTGGAAGGAAAGGGCAAGGATCAGGCCTGCAGCCAGTGCAACGGGGACCGGCCGAGGGTCTGCTGCAGAAAGCAGCAGTGGCTACTTGGGGGTTCCAGCCACCCCAGGAACATCATTGGCTGAGCCAAGCGAGGCCCCTGCAGCCAACTCCAGGGGATTGCTCTGCTCGCCTGCCCCTCTCGGGGACTCGGCTCAACGCGGCGTTTCCCAATCCCCTTGGGAAGGGAGGGACGGACCAGAAACCAAATCTGCACCTCCCGCCGCCCGCAGCTTGGGAAGTGGGGGGGGCGGAGCCAGCGCTCACTTATGCGGCTGTCAGCTGCCATGATCTGAAGTCAAGGGAGCTGCCCTGGTATCAAATCAGTGCAAGACAGGGGAGACTCGGGCCCTGCAGCTGGAACCCAGACCCCAGATCTTGCTCTCCGCCCTACAGAGCACTAAATGGCAGGTGTCCAGGCCGGCAGCAGAACGGACCTTTTCGCTCTTGCTTTGCTCTGAGCAAGGAAGTTCATCCTTAAGAAGCCAGGATGTTGTCCCTGGCTGGTTCGTTGAACCATCACCACCCAGTAGCTTCCCTGCACTTCCCCAAGCCGTGAGCTGGCACCTAGGAGCGCCTGACATTTCTGGGAAGGAGACAGGCACGTCAGTGCCCGCGCTCCCAAGGACACGTCTCAGAGAAGGCAACTGTAGCCTATCTGTGCATTCTTCGGGCCATCGCTTATGCTTGGCACTGTCTCCCTCTCCAGTACTGCTCCCAAGCAAAGCCTTTCAACCGCGACTCCTACAGCTGCCCGGGCACACAGATGGAGCGCCTGCTGCCCTGCACGTGCCCCTCAACTAGTCTGTCCGGATTGGAACAATAAAGTCCCTTGGGGGAGGTGCCTCCATTCTTTATTTGCACTATTCCCTGTGCCTCACCAGCACGCCGTGCACACTAGTAACAATCCGCTTCCCTTTGTAACAAGTGAAATGATTCTGCCCTTCCCCTGCAAGGCTCAGTCAGTATGACTAATAAGTGTGAACTTAAAAAACAAATTGGATTTCCTGTGAACCTAATTAACCCTATCAAGTAACTCTTCCCCTGAGACTCACCCTGGGCAAATGGACTCATGCAGTGCAAGGTGGCTCCTGGCTGTAGGGAGAGTCTTCACATTAGGGTTTCGTTACCTGCAGTGGGGGTAGCCAAGTACTTATTTTCAGTTGTGCGTGTGACTGTATTGCATGGAAAAGCTGACACAGCTAGGCAGTGCCATGCACCACTCTGGCAAAGGTCAGGGAAGCTCGGAAAACTCCTAGTGTTCAGGGACCATAAGTGAAGCGGCAAAAATCATGAGGTTGACTTAAAAATGCTAAATCTGGGGGTTCTTTTTGTTTGCCTCCTGCCTTTAGGGGTCACGTTTTCAAGCTTTCCTCCAAGAACACTAGAGCAAGAAATGTCCTTAGTTAAAAATGAAAGCTGAAATTCTCCCATCAGCCCATGACTCCAGCAGCTGGGGCTTAAGAGAAACACCAGGTATTGCAAGAGTTGGCCACACTGCCTCTGCCAGTGCTTCCCAACCTCGGCTTGCAGCACCCACTAGCTGGATCTCTCTTGAGCAAAGCCTAAGCATCCGCATTCAACTCCGCCCAAATGGGACCGGATAGCACTCTGAGTTACACAGCCGTGAATCAGGCTGTTGAAATCAATGAAGTTACACCAGTGTATCACCTGTGATGCCAAGAGCAGAACCAAGCCCCACAGCTTTCGATCAGGTTAATGCCGCAATAGCGGCACATCGTTAGAGACGACTGTAACTTCTTTTAATGAGAGTCATGTGGTTTGGTGATGTGCTCTAGTGAAGACCTGCCAGTGAAGTGAGTAAAGTCTCTTCCAAACAGTTTCTGAAACTCTTTTATGATTCAAAAGCAAACAAGAGAATTACACTGGGCTGAAAGATCATTTCTGCAGGCATGTGGTTATTTTATACATAACTCAAGAGGCCTGTCTGAGCTCAGAAATACCATTACCACGCTGGCTCATGCAGTCAAACGGAAAACCACCTTGCTCTTACTGAACTGCCCCCTGGGGGAAGCGGTAGTACGGGTCAGTGCCTGGCTGGCTTGACAATCTCTAAACAATGAAGTGTCCTTCACTGGTAGGGCAGAAATAGGTAGGGTAAAGATAACACTAAAACTCCAACAACACAAAAGAGTGCTTGGCAGCTGATCACCATGGGATTTGTCTCCAAAGCACTTTGAAACTCGAGCTAATGGACCTTTGCAATCCCCTGAGTGGCAGGCAAGCAGCATTATTTATCCCCTCCGGGAAGGGGAAACTGAGGCACTGAGGCAGGAGGCAGCTCTCATTTGTCCAAGGCCACAGAGGAAGTCAGAATCAGGATTAGAACTCAGGACTTCCCAGTTTCCAGCCCTAGGATTCATCTATTTCCCTCCCAGGAAAGTGTTTGTATCACTGAATATTTAAGAGAGTGGCTCTCAACCTTTCCAGACGACTGTACCCCTCTCAGGAGACTGATTTGTCCTGTGTATCCCCAAATTTCACCTCACTTACAAACTACTCACTTACAGAATCAGACATAAAACTACAAACGTGTCACAGCCACACTAGTGCTGAAAACTTGCTGACTCTCATTTTACCATATAAAAATAAAATAAACCCACTGGACTATAAATATTGTACTTACATGTCAGTGTATACAGAGCAGGATAAACAAGTCATTGTCTGTATGAAATTTTAGTCTGTCCTGACTTTGCTAGTGGTTTTTATGTAGCCTGTTGGAGAACTAGACCAATCTCTAGCTGAGTTGATGTACCCCCGGAAGACCCCTGTGTACCCCCTTTTGAGATCCGCTGATTTATATGCATCCGAAGAAGTGGGTTGTAGCCCACGAAAGCTTATGCTCTAATAAATTTGTTAGTCTCTAAGGTGCCACAAGTACTCCTGTTCTTTTTGCTGATTTAAGAGAAAGTGAACGTGTGATCTCACACATTGAGCAGTGACCCCCTTTCCCTTTCAGACGGACTGGCTTTGAAGAGGACAATACATCCTCCTTCCTTCTCTCCCCAGATGTGTGTGTTCCACATGGAGACGATCAGCGGCCTGGAGAGCCTTCCACCTGCGGACAGATTGAGAGGCCTAGGCCTGGGTAACTCCACTGAAGCGACAGAGTTACCAAGTGCAAATGGGAAGAGGCTCTCTGCCATCCATGCACCTGCAGAGAGCGCAAAGACCTGGCACCAGAACCCCCAGCTACCGGAGAAGCCTTGGAAAGTTACTGCAGAGATGAAGCAAGAGCAGTAACTCCAGGTGTGTAAATGCACCAGATCAGGGAGATGACTGAGGTAAATTTTCAGACTCCAATTCACTCTCTCTGCCAGGAAAAAACAAAACAGATCCGATTAAAATGTAAGATTCATAGAGATGCTTTATAGCATTGGCAGTAAGTCAAAAATACCAGAGCCAAGCACAGGGCGGGGTTTGAGAGATAAGATGAGTAAATCATTCACAGATTTCATGAGGGAAAAATGGAGGCGAAGCACTGAGCTCTGGGCTAGGGCGCACATAGGGTGCGTGTGCTGCACCTGCGCCCAGCTCCGAGTGGTCCCCGTCCCCGTTCTCCCCAGGGGAACGATCTGGCTGTGGGGAAGATGTGGAAGGGAAGAGTCTGTAGACGTACGAGAACGTGATGAATGGGCCCGCATGGCACATGAGTGGGAGCTCAGTGCACCGAGAGAACCTGGGGGCGCAGATTAGTCCTTTCATCCCAGAGACACACCGGGGCGTGGCAGCAATGCCCTCAGCCCTTGGGCTGGGGGAAGAGCATCTCTGATCATTTTTCGGCAGCTGTAAAGGTGAGTGAACAATGTTCATCATCGCAGCTTCTGCAGAACCTGCCACTCCCAAGAGTTTTACGGATGTTGATACACAGCTATAGATGGTGACCACGTCAGCTGCCGCTGAAAAGCAGCCTTCTCTGGGTTGGAGTGCTGCAGCTTTTTAACAGCGCATAGCACCAGCATGCAGTAAGTTTAAGGCAGGAAGCAAAGAACACTTAATAACAATCTACTTGCTGACTGGTGGGAGGAGGAGGGCGGCTTGCTCCCACTGAAAGGTATTTCCAAGGGAAAGGCTTGTTTTCCCTGCTACCAACAACAAATTGGCAGTGGCAGGATAAGTCAACTTCAGTGTAATGCACTGAAACAGCATGTGCATGTGTCACACACCGTTATCCACTAGAGGATAACACCCTACTACTGCTAGCCGCTAACAGAATTACTCCTTCAGCTCAAGCAGGAGAGGGTGGTGCTGAAGGGACGGAGTTCAAACCCTGCGCCATCATTACATCAGTGCCATGAAGACAATTGACAAGGAACAGTTAGACTCTGAATATCCAAGAGGCCTGTAATTCGTTCAGCAACGTGGGGAATCCAGGCCAGGCTTGGGGAGGTTAGATTCGGCTGGCACGGCGTAACCTCCTCCTTCCCAGACCAACACTTCAGCTCCACCCGCCCGGAAGCTGCAGCTCCATGGATGGATGGGCTGCGGGCCTGGCTGTTAGCATCTTTTAACGGGTTCATCTCTGGTGCTTTGCTAGTTAGTTCAGGATTACAAATGAGAAGGCGAGTCTCCCTGCTTTGTTAATGACATTCCTGCATCAGAGTGGGAGCAGAATGCATTTCACAATGCAACCAGGAAGGAGCTGGGTCTCTTTAACCTAGAGGAAGCCAATGTCCCTCTCTGCTATATGAGAGCCTCAAAGGGCCAGTGTGCCAGCTAAGCATGCAAAGTTCAGGGCTCTTGATGCTCGCAGTAGGGATGGGGTAGAAAGCACCTCTGCCAGGCACACTGCTGGGGGCCCCCGGTGGGCACAGCGTGTGCAGGGGCAGCTGGGCTGCTCTGTGGCAAGGCACTGGACTCACTGGCCTTGTGCACTGCCAAGCCATGGATTGACCCAGCCCCGGCACAGAGGCGCCAGAGGAAGGGAAGGCTCCATCCACACTGCAGCATGAGCCCAGGCAGGCCTGCAGCGGGTACCCTAATCTCTTCCACAGGGCAATTTCCTGAGCATGGGCTCCCTGGCAGAACAATGGGGAGCGTCTCTGCTCTGGGCGGGGTCCCGGCTGTTTCCCATCCCAGCGACACTGGGAAACACAGAGCCGAAGACAAGAAAAGGGAGACCCTGGAATTCAGCTCGTGTCCCAGGAAAGCGGTGGGGCCTGGGCGGAGTTTGTGCCAAGGATATTTTCATTTCAGCCTTCCTCTGCATCCCTCCAGAACCTACTGATCTCCTGGCTTGAAGCTGGGAAGCCGCGCTGCCAGCACCGGGCCAGCACCTCCTCAGGTCAAAGGGCCCCGCAAAGACCAGGCAGCTTGAGCCGTCCTCCAGGGACATGGGTGTTTGCAGGATGCAGGTGCTTGGAGCTGTGAACCCCAGAGAGGAAAGCCAGCACAGCAGAGGCAGCCTCTACCCCTCCCTGCTGCGTGATCACCCCGTAGCTGTTCCCCAGGCCTCTCCCTTTGATCCAGGACAAGTCACTGAGCACACAGGGCGGCTTTATGGGGAAGGAGGTTCAAGGAGAAAAGAATGCGGCTGAGGCTGCCAAATGTGACTTGCTTACAACACGTGCACGTAAGCCACTAAGTCAGGTATTATTTGTGTAAGCGGGGGATGGTCCCGCTATTGTGGGAAATTTTCCTGGCTTATACGCTACCATCTGAGTCCTCGCTCCCACTCCCTTTACCCCGAGCCCTGCCTGACCTCGTTGGCTCCCCTTCCTCATAACCCCGACAAGGCTGAGCCCAGGATTCCTGGGGGGCTCGACCCCCAACCTGGTCGTGGTCACTTAGGGCAGGGGAAGGGGTGTCCCCACGCCGGGGTGCTCTGTCTGCACTGGACACTTCCCTGACCCACTGATCATTCCATACAGTTCTAAGCAAATACAATTTATTAAACAGCAACCAAATAAAAAAAATAAGGAAAAACTGGGAAAACAGCCAGCGTCTCTGGGATGTCCGGGCAGTTCACAATCTGTTCCTCACAAGTCCCAGGCCCCTGCCCGGGCCCTGGCCGTGCTGCAGGGACGCTGCGGGTCGGACACTTGCTCTGGCGGTGGCCACAGGCCCTCAGGCTCTAGATGGCAGGACCCTTCTTCCCAGCATTGCCCCTGCCTTGTTGGGGTTACGATCCCCCTCCAAGTCTGGCCTGCAGAGCCTCTTGGCTGGGGGCGTCTCCCTGTGCTGGGCCCACTGCCCAGGGTCCCCCCTCGCTCTCCCCAGCTGCTCACCGCACCCGGCTCCGGACAGCTCCAGCCCCAGCTCCAGCTCCACTCGGCCTCAGCACGGCTGCTGCTGCTGCTCTGCCTCCAGCTCCCTGGGCTGCTTCTCTGGCCTCTCTGGCTCTGGTTGCTGCAGCCCTGCTCCCAGGACAGGTCTGCTCTGTGGGCTGCTTCTGTGACTCTGCTCCCAGCTCTGACCTGCTTCCTGGCTGCTTGTCTGGCCGGCACAGCCCTGCCCCCCTTCGCTCAGCTCGGCCCCCTGCTCTCCCCTTAGCTCAGCCCCACTCTGTCTGACTCAGGCAATTCCAGCAAACACGGAGGACAGGACCACCCTGGCCTCCTGACTCCCGGATTAGCTTGACCACCCTGTCAATCAGCCTGACCTAGAGCATTGGCCTCCCCCCATTGTTCCTGGGGATGGTCAGTCTCAGGGTCCTGATTTCCCCTCGACCCCTCCCCTTTCTTTTAGTACTGGGAGCTAGCAACCCCCCCCCCCCCCGTGTTGGTAAGGGGACAATACATTTGCGTGGTTTGGAGGTGGAGAGGGAGTGCCGCAGGCTCCCTTAGGGAAAACTGTTCAGAGCAGCAGGGGCTTGGCAAAGACGCCAGCTCATTCAGTCGTGCCAGGCTAATGGTTAGCCGTTGCCGGATCGGGAATGGTGAATTGGACGGGGGGATCAAACTTCAAGCACAATGTATAGCCCCCTCCTGGGAGGATGGTACGTCCCTGGGGCAGACACCTGCGGGTCGGTCTTTGGTTTTGCACTTTGTCAGTTGCACGTTTTTAAGCAAGGGTCACTAACCGTGGGCACAACTGAGGGTCCTGGTGGCTACTCCCTGACTGGAGTGCTATAACTCTCTTTCCAATAGAAATGACTGGGCTGGCGGCAGGCATCCGGGGGTGAGGTTCCCTGGCCCGTGCTCTGTGGCAGCTCAGACCGGGTAATCACAACAGTCCCTGCTGGCCTTAAAGACTGAACTGACCCCAGACCGGTGACTTTCTGTGGGTCTAACAGGAACCCTTTGACAGCGCTGCTTCCAGCTTCCCGACCAACTCTTTGTCCTTCTCAATCTGAACGAGACTTAAATTTACCAACGCCAAGGAAGGGATGTGAGAGAGGATGTCAGCAAAACCAAAATCTCATGCGGCTGGGGTGGAAACCGCTTTCTCCAGCTGCTGGTCAATGTCACGGTCACCTCCCTTCTGAGCCCTGCTTCACACACTCTCAACTGCCCCAAAGACCTTCTGGCAGAAATCCCCCAGAGGGGCTTTGTCAGGGGACAGCTCCCCTCCCTTCGCCTGCTGGCCCGTGTCTCCCCATCACTACTCAGTGCAACTTTCCTGCACCCGCCCATGGGACACTGTGCAGCCCTCGGCCCCGCCACAACCCAGCTCCCCGCTGCTCACTCCCCTCCATGCCCCTTCTGCAGGGGCACTCACCCCACCTGGGCTTTGTGCAGTTGCTGCCTGGTGAGCTGGGGGAAATGAGGGTGGGGCAAGTGAGGTTGAGGAGGGAGCTGGGGGGGGGATGATCTGGGACACACTGGAATCTCCTCCCCACCCCCCAGCACCTGCACAGCTGCAATACACCCCCTCACAAGTCTCTCTCTCCCCCCACCAGCAAGCTCTGTGCCCCTAAGGCAGGGCCACACCCATGGCCCCCAGAGGCACTGCAGGGAGCCAGGGCTAGTGCAGGGCGGGGTGCTCAGACAATCACAACACGGCAAAGCAGCAACAAAACGCTGCCCCGTTGCTGTGTGTATTTCGTGGGGAGCAGAAGTGGCTGCTGGCTTGGAGCGGCTCCCTTCCCCCAGGGACACCTGGCAGTGGCTGCGGGAGGTTAGCAGAAGGTGTGGGCACGGCGTTTCTTTCACCAGAGGGTTGTTGTGGGCACCCCGGCCTTGGCATAATGCTCTAGGGGAGGAGGGGCTCAGCTGGGGGGAGGGGCTCAGCAGGTGGCCAGGGGACCCCAAAGACGTGGGCTGAAAACACGGCCAAGCGTCCGTGCGAGCCGAGTGTTTGCCCGGGGCAGGATCGGTTTGTCGTGGGAAATGCTGCTGCGACCCGTGGAGAGACTCAGGTCGAAGAGGGGGGTTAATCTTGCTGGGCAAATCTCAGCCCAGCCCTAAACTAGAGTCAGGGCTGATGCCACCGTCCCCGTCCCCCCCGCCATGGCAACCCCCCAGGGACAGGTCGGGGCGCTCCCTTTGGGGCGTGTGCCGGGGGGCAGGGGGGCGAGGCCACTGTCCCGCCTGCCCCGCGGCGGGGTCCAGACCCCGGTACCCGTCTCTGGGATGTCAGAAGTTGGGCTGCGGCTGCCAAGCTGGTGGGTTGAGTCTCCAGGCGAGGGGACAGAGCGAGTGCAGGGTCCCCCCTTCCCTCCCCGGCGGCGGGCTCCGGGCTCGCCCCCCGCCCCGAGCCGGGGGCTTTGGCCGGCCCCTGCCCGCTGCGGCCCCGATCCTCCGGGGATGGGCTCGGGGGGCGAACGGGACCGAGCCCCGCCCCCGCTGCACCGCGGACCCCCTACCTGGCTGCCCGCGGACCCGGGGCGCTCCTGGCCGGCGTGCGGGAGAGCGGGGCGCGGAGCTCGCCGGGCTCGCTGCTCCGCGGCGGGTTTGAACTAAGCGCAGCTCCGCCGGGCGCCTTCCCCGCCCACGTGATGGGGGAGAGGGGGCCGGCCGGAGCGCCTGGATCGCCGAGCCTCCGCCAGTGGCAGCAGCGCCCTTCGCCGGCCGATCTCCAAGCGCTGGGCGGGGTGGGGGAGTCTGCTAGGGCCAAAGCCCAGAGCTCCCGGACACCCCTGTCGCCCTGTACCCTGCTGCGCTGCGGCTCTCGGCCAGCTCTCCCCGGGGTCACCTCTTCTCTGGGCCGGCTGAAGGATAATAGCCTACTACTGCGGAGAGCTGAAGCAAGTCCTCCTAGGGTACAAGCGGGAGAGGGCGGGGCAGTGGTGCTGAACCCATGCGGGAGGGGGCATTAGGGTTGGCAGTGCAGGGGAGAAAGGTGTGTGATGTGCCAGCAAAGCGTTAGGGTGATTAGTGTGTAATCCTCAAATGCAGCCCCTTTGCCCGATCCTTCCTCTGCCTTTTCACCAGGCCTGGCAGCTTGGCTCAGGTTTCCTGGAGAAATAGACTCTGAATCTCACACAAAAGTGTCACCGGCAAAGCCCCCCATGCTGGGGTTTAGCACATTGAAATAAAGCCAGGGGGTGTTAAGACATGCTGGTGCCTGGCCTGCGGTATGTGGGAAACATGAGTATACTGGGCAGAGTCTTTGTACAGATCACATCACAAAGTCTGACCTGCAAAGTGAAAGAGCCCATGGGGCACCCATAGAACGGTGCCAGTTCTCAGCTCCTCGGCTCCGCTCGGGAACCAGAGGGGTGTGTGGCTTTAAGCGATGTGCTCCCCCTCGTCACTGAGTAGGCAGGTGCCTGCCTGGCCCTCAGCATGTTAGAGAGGCCTCAGGGCTGCTCTAACCCATGCTTGGGCTGCAGTGGACTCCCATCAGCGAACAGCTGCAGCCCAGAGCACTCCGACCACACATCCTCCGCCTTCCTGCCCACCCCTGGTATGCCCCCTCTGTCGAAGGCCAGGCGGAGGCTGGGCCGAGCACCATTCGGCCAGCTCTAGGCCCCTGGGACCCATCTCTGCCCCATCCACTAGTAGGGTTTTGCATGCAGGGAGCTGGTGAGGCAGAGACAGCGACCTTGGGCTGGGCATGAGCTGCGAATTAGAACTGTCGAAGGGCAGACTTTCCATTCCACGGGAGATGTCGACATTGCAAAATGTCCTTTCATCCCAGATTGGAACAGGCCATCACACATTTGACATTTCCCACAAATAGGGTGACCAGACAGCAAGTGTGAAAAATCGGCACGGGGTTGGAGGGGTAATAGGAGCCTATATAAGAAAAAGACCCAAAAATCAGCACTGTCCCTATAAAATCGGGACATCTGGTCACCCTACCCACAAAATTTCATTTAGAAATTTAAGGGGAGCTGGGCCCAGCCTCGCCTGTGACAGATCAGCTACCTCCCAGCAGGGACTGATCAGCTAGGGAGCAGGGGACCAGAAAAGCCAGCATGTTGCCTTGTTGGGGAAAGAGCTGCTGGGAACGGAGAGGCTGTGACAGGAAGCCCGTGGGTAAAAGGACGAGCTACAGGAAGCAGGCAGGCTCACAGAGAAGTGGCCTGTAAAGTGGAAACATGGAGGAAACCGATAGGCCCTTGCAGAAAACCCTGTGCGGTGGGGGAAGGGACGACTGATGTGCTGTACTAGCTCTGTGGGGAAGAAATAAAGCTGACGCCCTGAGAAAAGGGCTTGCGCCGGACTCTGGGTGCAGCGCCCCTCTCTCCTGGGCCGAAAGGTCAGGCCAGCAGCCACGGGCCGGACGGAGATGCTTCGTTTGCTAAGGTCGAAGTGCTCCGTCAAAACGCTTTGAAAATTTGTTGTCAGATTTCAATGAAATCGATGCACTCCAGCAAATCGTTTGGAATTCAACAATGCAATGCTGCATTTTCCAGTGGAAGCGTGTCCTGTGGCCAGTGCGAAATGCTAGACACACTGTGCAGGTTGTAGACAGAGCAAAGTCCTGTCCAGGAGCCCTCCCGACACACGGTCCGGAGAAGCCGTCTTTTCTTTGGGAACCATGCAGTCACTGCTGGCACAAGTGACCCCCAGTCCCCTAACAGCTCCGAATGTGAAATATGGGGCTGGGACAACACCCTGCAGAGACGAAGGATGATAAGGCTCCATCTTCCCTAGCCCTGCTTCAGCTCCACTGCTGTTTGCGATGCAGGGAGACCTAGTGATGGCTGTTTTTCAGCTGATCACACTCCCTTTAAGCTGTGTTGACCAGACTTGTTCCCGGCAAGATTAGCTAAACCACAGCGTTGGCAGCTGAAAGCCCCGATGCTATGGCTCCCAATGTTGCCACAGTGCTGAATTTTCCTGAACTGTCCTCAGTGTGGAGACAGGATGTTAGAGGTTTGTTTCCACAACCCATGTTGCTGCTCTGCCTCTCGGTGCTCCACGCAGGACTCCGGCGTCCATCGAGGTTCAGAACGCCTTGGCCATGTTCATGTTAGGAATGAGCATCTTCTGAGTAGTTTCGAAGGTGGTGGTGTCCGCAGATCCTCACTTCAGACTAAACTGATGTGCTGGTTACTTGATAAGTGACAGTGGCATGCTGCCCCAGGGAAATGGGCTGATGGACACGCTAAGCATTCACAGCCCCTGGAGAGCTTTGCTGTTAGCATGTCAACAGCAATGAAGCATTGTGCGGTGGGTGATGATGCTTGCAGGCAGCAGCTGTTTTCAAATCGCTTTTCCATTTGAGTCAGTCCTGAGTCAAATGATGTAGCCCTAAACCCAGACTTTACTGCTGTCAGGCTGGAATGAGCGTGAGTCTCATCAAGATGACCCTGCGGTTCTAGCACTGATGTTTGCACTTTCGTTGCTGTAATTAAAAAGGGAAGAAGAGTGTAAACTGGAATGCTGCTGCATTCCAGTTTGTGACATCCTATAACCTCATTCTAGGCAGGCGCGCACACCTCCTCCGACCGGGGGCCATCTGACTCAGAGAGAGGCACAAGAATCCCCATCATGGGCACGGATGGACCAACTTGTCCATCCGGGAAGTTCCCAGGCAGCACGTGGTCGACTTTTGCCTTGAAGCAGAAGGATTTATAGCCCTAATTCTTTACTTCTGTTTAAAGTAATCATGGACATTCTCATTTTCCTGATAAATATCTAATCCTTCATTGACTGCTGCTAAGCTCCTGTGATCTTGTGGCAAGGAGTTCCACAGGCTCATTTTGTGTTGTGCAAAATATTTCCTTCCATCAGTTTTAAGTGTGCTGTTTTTCTGGTTGTTCTTGTGCTAGGAGAAGGGCTTCAGAGGAGCATCCGCTCATTACTGTCAGTTCCTTGGGTATGTGTTCATTTCCTCCCTACTCCAAGGAGTCCAATCTTTTCAATCCCTGCCCCCTTGTTTGTCTGTTATATCTTTCCCTGAGTCTGACTGGCCAGTCCCTAGAGGAATTAGATGTCCCTTTTCAGGTGAGAGGACTTTCTACAAGTTCTGAGGTCCTGTCTGCTCTGGAGTTTTTACTGTGTTTAGGAGCCATGTTTAATCGGGGGTTACAGAAGGTCCTAACAGGCTGGGCTGGCATGGGTGGGGCAAATCAACGCTTGCAAGTCATTGGCTAGCCTGGAGCTGATCTGGAATTCCAACACAGCTCACTCTGGCCAGCCAAGCTGGGCTAGCAAACCAGGTGAATGTGGCCACAAGAACAGCGCAGCGGGTGCTTGGGCTGTAGCTTGAGTAGACAGCTGGTGAGTTTGGATCATATGATCGACTGCTGCTAACCCAAGGCCCGGCCAGTATCCACACCTGGAGCCCATTCAAATCCCGTCGTATCCAGCTAGACATGGGAACCTTCCCGAGAGCCTCTCTTCACGGCCTGGCACAAGCTGGCTTTATGAGGACAGTGAGTTGCAGATGCCCTTTTCCTTCCCTTCCTCATCCACTCGAGCCCAGCGTCACCCTACGGCGCTTGTTGCCTGAGCCTGGGGGGGCGGCTTACAAGCCTATGGGGACCTCGCCCAGCAATGGTGCGATATGTTGCTGGGTAACTCTGTACGGATGGCTGCTATCTTGGGCGGGAACAGGAGCAGGGTTCCCAGCTCACTAGCTACGGGGGGTGGCTGGAGCTGGGGCGCCGGTGCTGCTCTTTACTACCAAGCAGGTGAACCGGACGCTGGAATCCCGTCTCCAGCTGGCCTTCCTGGGATGGGGTCTGCAGGGCAGGGCAGCGGCTGGCTGGGCGCGGTGCAGGGTCATGGCTCACGAGTTTCTAATAAGCCATACAACCCGGTGGAATCCTGAGTCTGATCTCTCTCATCTCCAATAGCATCAGCCCTCCTTCAGGCCAGTGCCAGCTAGAGGAGAAGCAGGGCCAACTGGCCTGAGACCACCTTACACAGTCTGGGCTGAGGTCTGCTACCTGGGGAGGCCTGGTTCTGGCCTGCTCAAAGATCAGCCCCAACCCCTCTTTCCCCAGTCATAGAAGATCTCCCACATTGCTCCTCATAAACCAGAGGCTGCTATGATCCCCCCAAGTCCCAGATCCGCATGTGGCAGGCGTGGCTTGGAGGGGGCTGGAAGGGCAGTTGCGTTCGGGGGGAGCATTAAGGAAAGGCTGTGCTGAGCCCTGTCAGAGCTGAGCTGCTCTGAGGGCTATGGGGTTAATCCAGGAGAGACAGCCAGAAGGACGGACACGCCCAGGTGGAAAGCCCTGGACACACACCTGTGGACAGACACACAGACAACCCCCCCCCACACACAGAACTTACAGACCCGCACTGAGGAGGGCTGGATTTCAGGAAGGAAAGCAGGAACCCATTTCTTCAGGTGACTTCTCAAAAGCCTGTGAGAAACTGGAGAGACACTGCTGAAAATAACCCATTGGAAAGGGCACGTTCAGTTCCCCCATCCTGGCATGCGTGGTCGTGAGACCAATGCCCTCATTAACCGACGCCAAGCTGTTTACGAGGCACTGATGAATTATCCTGCCCTGATGGCACCTTACAAAAGGCG